TACATGCCTACATTACATTGATGAACTGAAGCTAGTTCTGTGTCACCCTAGGTTATGACTGTTACATGATGAACCGCATCCGGCATAATTCTCCATCACCGATCCATTGCCTACGAGCTTTCCATATATTGTTCTTCGCTTATTTACTTTTCCGTTGCTATTGCTATCATCACTACAAAATACCAAAAACACTACTTTTACTACTGTTACCTTTTGCTACCGTTACCACTACTATCATATTACTTTGCTACTAAATACTTTGCTGCAGATATTAAGTTTCCAGGTGTGGTTGAATTGACAACTCAGCTGCTAATACTTGAGAATATTCTTTGGCTCCCCTTGTGTCGAATCAATAAATTTGGGTTGAATACTCTACCCTCGAAAACTGTTGCGATCCCCTATACTTGTGGGTTATCAGACCGCATCGTTACCGATGATCGAAGGAGCCATCAAGCCTTACGGTGATGGCACAGTGGAACTCTCAATGAAAGCACCAATGTCGGTGTCAAAACCGGCGTGTCTCGGGTAGGGGGTCCCGAACTGTGCGTCTAAGGCGGATGGTAACAGGAGACAAGGGACACGATGTTTACCCAGGTTCGGGCCCCCTTGAAGGAGGTAATACCCTACGTTCTTCTTGATTGTTCTTGATGATATGAGTATTACAAGAGTTGATCTACCACGAGATCGTAGAGGCTAAACCCTAGAAGCTAGCCTATGGTATGATTTCTGTTGTCCTACGGACTAAACCCTCCGGTTTACATAGACACCGAAGGAGGCTAGGGTTACACAGAGTCGGTTACAAGGGAGGAGATATACATATCCGTATTGCCTAGCTTGCCTTCCACACTAAGGATGTATCTAGACACGTTTTAGAGATACATCCGTATCTAGACTAATATAAAATAAGTAATTTTGGGATGGAGGTAATAGTATATGACATCATGATTCATTTTTATTAACGAAAACAATGAGCTTGAATCTTTCTAGTAATGAACAAATCTACCTAACATGTATCTCTGAACGTGTTACAATTTGTATTTCCTTTTTTTCGTGAGGGGGGACGGAAACTTTATTATACTAGGGATCGTGTAGATACAATGCACATTAACATTAGGCAATTAATATTAATTGGCATTGGCAAGAGAATAATTGCACGTTTATATTAGGTAGGATATAAGTAATTTGTTAGTGTTGATATTAGGCATGCTATCAATTAGGGATGGGTGCTAAACACATATAGCGCTAAACATCGAAGCGGCATAGTCCGTTGGATAGATGCTGTTGAATGGCTGAGATTTGTTGGATCTCTGCAACTCGTTTTTTCAATATTATTATTATTTATTTATTAATATTAGCATGAGATGTGTGTGTGTGTGTGTGTGTGTGTGTGTGTGTGTGTGTGTGTGTGGATATAGACCAGTACGGAAGATCGGCTCAGAGTCATTACTAGTTTTTGTACATATACTTGGGCAATCAGTCCTGGTACAGCACCATCCAGAGCTAGATCACCATGGATTTTATACCATGCAAAGCTGGCAAAACTCAGCTAGTGTTCCTGTCTCTCTTAATTTAGATGTCAAAATAGGATAGTCCAGCACCACATTAAATGAATTGATTTCTGTCAGAGTAGAAGATATTACCACCGCCAGCTTGCAGTAGCGTACACACACAAAAATACGTCAGGCCCTGCGGTTAAATAGCCAGCCACCCCGGCCCCTCCGTTCCCATTGCACAAACTTTTAGACTTTTGAATCTAGAAAATCAAGAGAAAGAGCGAGAGGTTTCAATGGCAGGCCCGTTTTCCTCAGATCGTGAGGGAGTGGGAAAGGATGCCCAGAAGAAGGTGGAAGATGGCCGGGAGATGGTGGAGCATGGTGGTGTGAGGGAGCCACCAGGATGGCTCCCAGATGGCTGGATCTGGGAGGTCCGCCTTGGTGAAGACGGTGAATACTACGAGGTATGTAGTACAACGTCGTACGTATTCCACACCCGCCGCACTCGCCGAACGCGGCTTACCTGCTCCGCTGCTGCTCCCGTCGGTGCTTCTCTCGCTCCTCCTAGTTCCGGATCGCTCCATCCTCTTGTTTTTCTTATACGTGCCGTCCGTTTCCCTTATCCGTCGCTCCTCCTAGTTCCGGATCGCTCTCCGCTTAGTCGCTCCCCGTCGCCGGAGTTGGTGGCTGCTGGGCGACACCGCCGCGCGTGGGTCTGCCGTTGCATAGGAGATGGGCGAATTTGTGCCCGTGCAGCCTATCCCCCAGGACCCCGACACCCACACCACGACCAGCGCGGTGCCGTCGTCGCCTAAGACCGGTTCCTTAAGCTCGGCCTTCTGGCGGCTCCGCCATGCGCCCACGGACGAGAATAAGCCATTTTCAGAGACGACCTAACGGTAACGGATCCACCAGGAAATTCCATTACTTTGATGATCAAGAAGATGCGGACAGGAGGCTCGATGTTTTGACAACTGTATAACTTAATTAATCTGATCTCGCGTTAGTACAAGGGACTTTAAATCATTACGAATAGTAGGTTCTTACTCTTTGCGGATAGAAATCTCCTAGACACAGACGTGCGATTGGGGTTGCACCTAAACGACTTAGTGGAACGTAACATGTTCACAGTCCATGCTTCTTGTTGTGCTGTAGGCAAATCCATCTATGTTCTTCTAGAGTTCGGATAATACTATACAGGGATACATGCTTTGATAGATTTATAAACACATGTTCGTTCTCTACACATCTTTGTAATGATTTTTTTTAGTTTCTGTTTTGTTATTGGAGATATGTCATTTTTCCTCGATACTTTTGTTTTTGTCCAGTACTACATATGTCCAGTGTCAGGGGCCGAATTCAGGATGAAGGCAGATGTCCTGAACTACCTTTTCTCCGAAATGGATGAGAAATACATCGAATCTATGGATGCTGCTGCTGCTCCTGGCATGCTCCATGTATGTTTTTCTTAGCACGCCGATGTCATTATATATTTATTTTCTAATATATCCATTACCGATGTGTCAACGTATCATGATGTGCAGAAGGAACATGACTGGCTTCCAGAGGGGTGGCGGCTTGAGATCAGAGCAGGGGGGAAAAACAAAGACAAGATGTACAAGGTAGTTTTTCTCTTTACTCCTGTTTATAAATAAGGACAAGTCAGTTTGCGTCGTGCCAGTAAGTACTTCCTCTGTAAATAAATATAAGAGGGAGTAGTAAGTACTAGTCCATTATTATATGGTATGTGTCCTGTTTCCAAGATGTTTTGGATGTGTAGTTCAAGAGTCATCATGTTCTAATTCAATCAGGGAATAATGTTAGTGCTAGCCTTGGACTACACATAAGATGAAGCTTGGTGTGTAGCGGGACAATAACCATTTTAGTTGTGTTTCTACTTGGGACTAACGATGTGTATAGTCTTGATTGTATAGCATACCAAACGTAGCAGAGTGGGCTGGTAGTCCGAATCATGTGCCTGAGCGGAATCCACCAGTCGTGAATCTGCAATGCATGAGTCGAGATCAAGGAGATCAAAAGAGACACGTAAGATACTAGAGTGATCATAAACTTTGAGTAGAGAGAGGTTGATGGAGTTAATCCGAACTTCCTAGAATTCTAAGTTAAGTCATAGTGACTAGTAGTGTGTTGTTGTGTTGTGTTTTGTTTCCAAGATGTGTTGGAGTCATTGTCCTAGACAACAGGGGAGCCAGGATTTAATCACAAAATGGGGCAAAGTCACCAATCCGGAAGATAGCTACCTTTTAAAAGATACTAATGCTTAATGTACTAGACTAATACTCAAAAACTCTTGATCAATCAAATATAATATGGAGAGTATTTTAAAGAATTGAGCCGAGAAGCTAGGGTCTCTCAAACACCCGTCAGTAGTACCGCGGCCACCGATGTGATCACTAGGTGGTGCACATTGTGCTCAAGCAATGGCTGCACCCTATGTATAGGCAATACCCTGGCAACAAGAGGGGCAGGGAACAGAGATCGATCCGAGTATGTGAAGTCCATCTGTTCATGGCTAGAGCACTACAGCCGTACATATCATCCGGATGTAACCTGTACCTTATATGGCGTAGATCTGCATGATAAAATGTATACATGCAGCGCTTGGTGACATTGACAAGCAATACAGAAAAAAGAGGGTTGTGGTATTTGATTCGTACACAAAGTGCCACTACGAACAGCTAGCAAATCTATTCGGTAGTTTCCTAGCTCAAGCGTGGCTTATCTGTAATTGTCTTTCCTCGACGTGATGAAGATGGTTCACCAACCGTTCACACGACTTACCTCATGTGACATAACAGTAAATGTAAATGATTACCTAGTCACATGAGAAATATTATACATACTATGTTCATCCTCTTACTACTAATAAAGTTTGTAAGCAATTATTGGTCATATACTCATATATTTCCTTTGAGTATAAGAAATGGAGTTGAGAAAATATCAGCAAGGAATCAAGTTTTATTCTTGAGTTATTAATTCATTATGGATTAATTATCGACTGTAATATATATCCCATATTACTTCCCACACATTCGGACAACTGTTATTTATCACGAGTACAGGTAGCTTTCATGTGCCTGGGACAAATACTCTACTAAGTTAATATGGCAAGCATATAATTTAGTCACATCTGGAAATAGTTTTATCTGATTATAACATTTTGCGCTATTATTATTTTGCAGTTTTACATTTACCCGCCACTGGGAATTCGATTATTCTCAAAAGAAGATGTGATACTCTATCTCAACGAAATGAAGGTCTCTAAATGTGATACTGATGGACAATGCGACACAAGCTCTAGAGATAATGTGTATTTCTTGCTATCACTACATAAATAATTTTGCATGTCTACAATGACTTGACTTTCCAAACCTAACAAGTTGCATTATTTTGTAGGTTCTAGCAGAACTGATTCTTAACCCATCTGGGTTGCCACCTGGATGGGTATTAGAATTTGTATACAGGAAAGCCGGAAGCAATGGAGAAATGAGGAAAGATCCGGTATATAAAAATAAATTCTGATCATGGTCTTTTCAAGAAAAATTTACCTTACATTGTTCAAATATTTTCGAATTGCTTATCATGATTAATTATGCAGTACTATACGGATCCTGTTAGCCATTATACATTCAGGACGTTGAAGTCTGCAGTTCGCTATGTTGAAACCAACGAACTTACAGAACGTGCATTTATTCAGAAAACAAGTGTCCATGAAGTGTACAACTTTGACAAGTCTACAGATCTGGTAACCGAGCTGCCAACATTTTCTATTATTATAATAATTGGCCTTGCAGTGTTATCTCTTTCGAAAGTAATATTTTCTTCTAGGACTTGTCTTATAGGAACATGCGTCGTGACCTATTTGCTATTATACTTTTTAAGATGTTGAGTAATACACACTTCAGTCACGCATCATTTATGTACAAATAACGTGGCCTCACAAACGTTGTGAATGCTAAGTCTTTTTTACATTGTTTCCATGCAATTTCTTGTGCCATCCTTGAGACCAGAATGCAAGTTAGGAAATATATATATGGATTGCAAGATATTTATAGGGTTCTGATCATTTGGTTTGCTTCTAGAAAGTGGGGCCATAGGGATGATGCTACAATTCTTATAGATTCCATTCTTCGGCTTCTCATTATGTAGGAATTTAAGTAATCACTTTAATATCATCTTTGGTTTATTCATGTAGAACTCATCTATATTTTCATATATTCCATGTGACCCACGTCCAAATGACTATCCTCATTTTTTTTGTGGTCATCTGGTTCTACCAAAAAAGGCTCGCATCCCGCTTTATAGATAAAGCACTGATCAACATACAACCGAACACATATAACTGGACCCACACCACACACACTCAAAGCAAGATACAAGGAGTTTATGAACACCTAGACTACCCCATCCACTCCAAGCAAACTACAAGTAGGAAGAAAGGGCACCGCGTGAAGTATGTGAAGTCCTCAACCGATGAGTCGATCACCACAACGAGACGAAGTCGTCCATGATGAACTGAGTACTCCAAGGGGGGCAGCATTTAGGAAGGGAACTACGCCAGAGTACCGCCACTGCCTGATCCAAGGACCAATGTTCCCACCGGTGCAACATGAAGGGTGAAGAGGAACTGTGACGACTACGATAAGTGACGCCGTAGTCGTAGTGGCCCCAGCAAGCCTTCATTGCCTCCGT